TGCAGTCTTTGATCTCCATCAGTAAGTACTTCAAGCCATCTTCACTTTCAGCAAGTAAGGTTGTGTCATCTACATATCACAGATTGTTAATGAGTCTTCCTCCAATCCTGATGCCACACTCTTCTTCATATAGTCCAGCGTCTTGGATTATTTGCTCAGCATACAGGTTGAGTAAGTATGGTGAAAAGATACAACGCTGATGTACACCCTTCCTGATTTTAAACCATACAGTATACCCTTATTCTACTTGAATGACAGCTTCTTGGTCTATGTACAGGTTCCTCATGAGCACAATTAAATGTTCTGGAATTCCCATTCTTCTCAATGTTATCCATAATTTGTTACAATCCACATAACCGAATGCCTTGGCATAGTCAATAAAATACAAGTAGACATCTTTCTGGTATTCTTTGCTTTCAGCCAAAATCCATCTAACAGCAGCAATGTCCACATTCCATGTCCTCTTCTGAATCCAGCTTGCATTTCTGGAAGTTTTCTGTCAATATACTGCTGCAGCCATTTAGAATTATCTTGAATAAGATTTTGTTTGCATGTGATATTAATGATATTGTTCGATAATTTCCACATTCTGTGGGATCACCTTTCTTTGGAGTGGGCACAAATATCAAACCTCTTCCAGTCAGTTGGCCAGGTAGCTGTCTTCCAAATTTCTTGGCATAAACGAGTAAGCACCTCCAGTGCTGCATCTGTTTGTTGAAACATCTCAATGGGTATCCCATCAATTCCCATAGCCTTGTTTTTCACCAATTCCTTCAGTGCAGCTTGGACTTCTTCCCTCAATACCACTGGTTCTTTATTACATGCTATTTCCTGAAATAGATGAACATCGACCAATTCTTTTTGGTACAGTGATTCTGTGTATTCTGTCCACCTTCTTTTGATGTTTCCTGCATCATCCAATATCTTGCCCATAGAATCCTTCAGTATTGCAACTCAAGGCTAGAATTTTTTCTTCAGTTCTTTCAGCTTGACAAATGCTGACCGTGTTCTTCTCTTTTGGTTTTCTAACTCCAGGCCTTTGCACATTTCATCATAATACTTTATTTTGTCTTCTCAAGTTACCCTGTAAAATCTTCTGTTCATCTCTTTTATTTCAGCATTTCTTCCATTCATTTTAGCTACTTTCTGTTCAAGAGCAAACTTCAGAGTCTTTTCTGACATCCATTTTAGTCATATTATTATATATACCCTATAAACTCAAAAATACTGATTATTTTCCCCAGAATATTGGTGATTCTGTTTAATCATTTACATGTACATAGAGTAGCCACTGGTTTTATTTCACTTTCCATGATTCAGAATTGAAATCTTAAGAAAGGACTGATGAAATAGTCTTTTTCTGGGGACATTTTCCTAAACTTTGGACATAGTGTCATTTTTCACAGTTCAAAGAGCATCCATGACCTCAACCTTGGGTGTTCTATAGATTCAGAAACTGTGGGTTCTTGTCTTGGATGCACTAGTTACCCAGAGCCCTAATTTTCTCATATATGCATCTGGGATAATAACATGTTTCTTTAATCTCCCAGGGTTGTTGTGTGAAATGATTCATGAAAATACCTTGTAAAATACATAGTATGTACAAATGTAAAGTGATACGATTGTTTTTTTTCAGGGGGATGACTTGTAGTTTTATATCAGTGCCATGATTTTCTCTTTTACAATATACATATATCCTTTTAAAAATTACAATACTTTGTTTCAGAATTCCATCTCTCAGTTCAATCTCATTTGTCTACAAACCATTTGGCTAACAAGATATTAAGGGCTTTAACTAGTGATCAGATTCTTTGTAGACAAACTCAATGCAACCAATAAAAAGAGTTTTTTGTTTGTTTGTGTTCTAGTTACCTAGTGCCGCTCTGACAGGAAATATACCACAAATGGGATGGCCTTAACAAACAGGAATTTATTCTTTTACAGTTTGGAGGCTTTAAGTCCAAGTTCAAAGTGCCGGGTTCTAGGGGCTGGGTGAAAGCCCCTCAACCTTGGGGTCCAGCTCTGCTTCCTGCTCCCGGCCCACTGGAGCTAGAGGCATTTCTTCACTCAGACAGCTGCTGGCTGCTGAGGCTGAGAAGCCCCAAGGTTGACAAGTAAAAAGGTGCAGTTCTAATGTTACCAAACCACATGGCAGGCCATTAACTTAAGTCCATTGTAAGTCCCAAGGTTGGCAGAGCATAGCAGGCTGCTGAGCAATGACACGGCTACATGCAGGGTCCGAGCGTGCCACAGGCTAGAGACCATTCCTGAGGCTTCTCCTTATATACAGGAAGCAACCACATTCCCAAAGGCAGCTACTCAGCTACTCCCAGTAGATTCCACCATGGAGTTGATTACCAGTCTCATCATGGGGAATACTACATCCAGCTGCCCAGCCACTCAACCAGGCCCAGTCAAGTTGACACGAAAACATAACCATCACAGTTCGTTTTTGTTGTTGTTAGTTGCCACTGAGTTGATTCTGACTTATAGTGACCCCATGTTACAAGAGTAAAAACTGCCTCAGGTTTTCTTGGCTGTAATCTTTGCAGCAGCAGATTGCTAGATCTTTCTCATGTGGAGCTGCTTGGTGGGTTTGAAGCCCTTTAGCCATTTGTACCACTAGGACTCCTGTACCAATAATAATAATAAAGGTTAAAATCCTAATGTGCCAGGCACGGAGCTATGCCCTTTATTTGTATGAACCAATTTAATCCTTGCAACACTCAGTGAGGCAGTTACAATTATCATGATCTCTATTTTACAGATGAGGTAACTGAAGCTTAGAGGGTTTAAGTACATTAGAGGTAATATAGCCAATGAGTGGTGGAGCAGAGATTTCAACTTACACAGGAGATAACAGTCTAGAGGCCTAACCACTAGTCTATACTGCCTTCTCAGTATTGTATATATCCATGCCTAAAATTTCTTCAAAATCCTCTGGAAATATTCCCTGTAAGATGATCCCTAAAATTTACTCACCAACTAAAAAAGAAGGCTTTGCACTACCACTATCTTAGGTTCCCACCTACGAGTTCTGGTAGCGTAGTGCCTAAGACACTTGACTGCTAACCAGAAGGCTGGAGGTTCAAACCCACTAGCCACTCCTTGGAAGGAAGGTTGGGCAATCTACTTCCATAGTGATATCACCTCTGAAACCCAAGGAGGGGTCGCTATGAGTTGGATATGATTCAGTGGCAGTGAATTTGTTTTTTATTGGTAGGTTTTCACTTGGGTATCCACATCATGATGAATGGAGAAAAGACTGAAGTTGTCAGGGATTTCATTTACTTGGATCCACCATAAACACCCCTGGAAGCAGAGGTCAAGAAATCAGACATAGTATTATACTGGGAAAATCTTCTGCAAAAGACCTCTTTGAAGTGTTAAGAAGCAAAGATGTCACTTTGAAGACCAAGATGTGTCTAACTCAAGCCATGGTGTTTTTAATCACCTCGTATGCATGTGAAAACTAGACAATGAATAAGGAAGACCAAAGAAGAGTTGATGCCTTTCAATTATAGTGTTGGCGAAGAATATTGAAAATACCATGGACTGCCAGAAGAACAAATTTGTACTGGAAGAAGTACAGTTGGAATGCTCCCTGGAAGCTAGAATGGCCAGACTTCTTCTCACCTGCTTTGGTCATGTTGTTACAAGGGACCATTCCCTGGAGAAAGATATCATGCTTGGTAAAGTAGAGGGTCAGCGAAAAAGGGGAAGACCCTCAACAAGATGGACTGACAGAGTGGCTACAATGATGGGCTCAAGCACAGCAAGGATTGTGAGGATGGTGCAGGACCAGGCAGTGTTTCATTCTGTTGTACAAAGAGTCCCTATGAATCAGAACTGACTCGATGGCATTTAACAACAATATCAGGTTTCCACTAAGACAGAACTGGAAGAAACCTCTTTGGTATTCTCCTAGCCTAGGGAGACAGTTGCATTTTCTAACTTGCAAATCAGATCATATCTCTCTCCTGAGGAGAGTTCTCCAGTGGTTCCCACAGTGTTCAGGATTAACTTCAAACTCTTGCTCATCTCTTGGTTTCTCCTTTCCCTTCTTCTCCCTGACTCTGCTCTCTGCCTACCCACATATTATTCCTTCTTAAGAATAACTTCTTAACAAGTTATTGGGCCTCCATGCCCAAGACAAAAACAAAAGCTACTTTTTAGTTATTTGTAATCCTTCTTCATTCTTCAAAGCTCAGGTTTGGACTCTCTTCCATGGGAAGACTGGGTAGGAGTCCTGCTCTCTGCTCTCCTAGTGCTCTGTACTGATCTGATATAGCACTTGCCACCTGCATTGATTGATTGATTTGTCTCCTCAGAGAGACCACAAATAAGTCTTTTTGACTTTTCCATTTTTCCAGCCCTTTTGTTTCTTAAGCGTGTGGCCAGCATAATTCTTGGAACTTAGTTTGTGCTCAATAAACGCTGAGTTAGTAAATCAAGAGTGATACATGGCATGGTTCTAGACTCAGACAAAGCAATCTACTGCCCCTGGAAACCAGTGGTGAGCTTCCAGGCTGGCACATTCAATTATCCAGTTCTTGTCCCCACCCTCAGTTTTTGGGTACTATATATAGTTCAGGTTTGGTTACAAAGTATCTATTTATAACTTTCAAACAAATAGCATCCTAAACCAGGTCAATAATTTTGGGAACCTTCACTTGATTAAAGGAGCTCTGGTAGCACAGTGCCTAAGGCATCTGACTGCTAAACAGAAGGTTGGTAGTTCAAACGCACCAGCCACTCCGTGGAAGCAAGACTGGGCAATCTACTTCTGTAAAGATCTATCACCTCGGAAACCCAATGGGGGTTGCTATGAGTCAGAGTCGACTTGATGGCAGTGGGTTTGGTTTTGGTTTTGGTTTACTTGGTTAAAACGGTTAGGGTTATCACAGCTCCCCAGCTGAGCTCTGTGGCATTCACAGCACCTCCTCCCATTAACACATGCAGCCACTTTCTGATCCAGGTAGAACGAAGGGAAAGATCACCTCTGCATCTCCAGGGTCCTGAAGAATCGCTGCTTCCATGAACAGGATGGTGACTGGTAGGTCACCTTCCTTCAGCCTTTTTAAGCCTTCTTCAAATGCTCCAGGCCAGTCCTTGAAGGGGTTTTCAGTGTGAAAGTAATATCCCTACAACACAGAGAAAGGCCAATACGTGATCTACTCATAGGCTTATCTCTTCATTCCTACATTCAGTAAGTTATCATTAAAAATTATGGTTTGTTCCTTATTATGAATGTATTCTCATTATAACAAGTTTGAATAATACTGACACATACAAAAAGAGACCAAAAGTTACCCATAATGCCACAGCCTGAGATCACTGCTATTTTGGAGGTTTTCCTTCTTGTTTTACCCATTCTCCCCTCAATATTTTTAAAATACTTTAGAATGGATTTATTTTGTTTCTCAAAATTTTTATTTTAAAAATCATTGTCCCCCACAAGGAGACTTTTTAAATGTGTTTTTACCACGTGCTCCGTGCCCATCCCTGAAATGTTAATGCAACAGATATACTGTAATCTGTTTATGTACTGTGGTCCTTTGGAGGAACATAAGCCATTGTGATAGCTAAGATTTTATTCATCCTCCCATGAGAGCCAAATTTTCCCCCACTGGAGGTGACACTGCCCCCGTTGAGAGTGCATGTTTTAAAGTTATAGATATGCTCTTAATTTCAAAAATATAAACATAGAATGCACAAATTATCTTCTACTATTTTTCCTATGAGTATATAAATTAAATCGACTCATACTACTTTTGCAGTTTTGTAGCTTGAGTCCCACTTAGTTTTATATTGCGAACATTTTCCTAGATTAATACAATTATTCATATTGATATGCTAAAATTTATTTAACCAATCCCCTATTGATGGACAGTTAGGTTATTTCCAAGTTTTTGCTATTTTAAATAAAGTATGGTGAAAGCCTCAGGCTTAAATTTTTGTCTGTATTTGATTAGTCCCTTAGGATAGACTTCTAGAGTGATTCATGAGACTAAGTTATAATGAAGTATTTTAAGGGCCTTGAGCCATGTAGCTGAATTATTTTTGAGAAAGTCTGTTCCAACTTACACTCCCATCAGAAGTATATGGGAAATATTATTTGTTTCAATCTTATTAACATAGCTTATTGTACAATTCTTCTAATTTGATAGATACAAAGAAGCTGGTCATTTTATGATGCTTCTGACTCAAAAAACTCACTGCCACTGAGTTGATTTGGATTCATAGCGACTCCATTGGGTTTCCAAGGCTGTAAATCTTTATGGAAACGGAGTGCCTCATCTTTATTCCATGGAGCTGCTAGTAGGTTCAAACCACCGATTTTTTGGTTAGCAGTCATACACCTTAATCACTACACCACCAGAACTCTTTTATGGTGCTGCTGGAGTTTTAAAATAGAGCTGAGTAGAGACATTCATTCTCCATAGGTGCTTGTTGTTGTTGTTATGTGCCGTCGAGTCGGCCCTGACTCATAGCGACCCCTCCTTGGGTTTCCGAGGCAGTATCACTACAGAAGTAGGATTGCCCAACCTTCCTTCCGAGGAGTGGCTGGTGGGTTTGAACCGCCTGCCTTCTGGTTAGCAGTCAAGTGCTTTAACCACTATGCTACCAGAGCTCCTAACACGAAATCCCTTATTGAAGCTGGAGGGCATGAGCAGCCTGTGTGGTGGTAGTGAGGACATGGGGGCAGGGGAGTGAGGGGCTAAGGGCTCCCACAAAGCCTCAGGTGCATGGATTACAAACCAGTCTGACAACTGTCATCAAAGTTCTATTTTCTCACCTAGCTTTGATTTCTTTGTGCAAAGGACAGGTTTTTTTTTTTTTTTACAAAATTTTTTTATTGTGGTAAGTATACAACAGAACATTTGTCAATACAGCAGTTTTTACATCTACAATTCAAAATGACATTAATTATGTTCATCATGTTGTGCAGTCTCACCGCTGTCTATTTCCAAATTTTTCCATCAGTCTTAACAGGAACTCAGTGCCCCTAAGCAATGACTTCTCTCCCTTCCCTTACACCCTGGTAACCACTAATAAATTTGGTCTCTATACATTTGCCTAGTCTAGATATTTCATAGAAATGGGATTTATAATATTTTCCCTTTTGTGACTGACTTATTTACTGACAGTTATTCTTAACGAAATGTTTGTTCTGATTCTATGAGGACTGTCTACCCTACTGAGGGGCAGAGAATGATTGGAAGGAGACAAACATTTTAATGATGATGTAGACTGCAAATTCCCTAAAATCAGAGATAATTCATCATCATATCTACAGTACCCAGTACAAGCAGTTCTTCTTTTCCTAAGTCTGTCTTTAAATCCAATTTATACATAAGTTGAAATAGTTAGGTACGGTTTGTATCTAATGTCAGTTAGTCAAACTTATGTCTTAGTATATAATGTAGTTTTCTACACATAAAAAACATTAAACATTAAACAATTTCAGATCCAGTAAAATATCTTTCACATAATAATGCAGTAATAATAATAATAATGTTTTGATGCATGTTGTAAAGTAGCTTCCATTTGTTACAATGAACCACTGTATGTACCTCAAATTTTTAATGTAATAGGTTTTATGGGTGTTGGTTCATATAGGTTGTATACAAGTTGGAAATTCCTAATGCAGGGACTGCATGGATAGAGTAGACACCCGACAAATATACATTGAATTGAACTAAAAATCATGTGAGTTATGTAGAATTGAATATTATGATGAGTTTCTCTATCACAAAACACACAATATAAACTTATATGTATATTTTTAAGCCAATTCAACATCTTTGTATATTTCTAGTTATTTTTACTTATTCCTCACATAATATTCTTTTCAAACATGGATCCCTAGCATTTTTAAAAGCATAAATGCTAGAGTGATTGGGGCTTGATAGGTAATTCATGGGTAATATGGCTGGTTGTCCATAGCACTCATACATTTGCTGGGGCTCCCATGGGGGAATATCTCTGAGGAGTCAGCCCTGGACCTGATGTGCTTGTGTGAAGGTTATCTTTTCTGTGAGTCTCTCTGGAAGCTGTACAATGGCCACTTCTGAAATAAAACTCTAAGCCCTGTCTTCACCCCCCTGTCAAGATACCACTTCTGCTGTTAGCACTTAGGTGTGACTCACATGACCAACTGGAGAAAGCATCGTGGGATTAGCCCAGTTCTTCTTACCAGCCAAACTCATTATTAGGTAATTCAGTAACTGGCCCATATTCAGGAACCAAGGCCTGGTTGGCTGACCAAACCAACACTGACAAAAATGAGAGCATTTCATTCTAGCTCGGCTGCCTTCACACATCAGATGACTATATTGCTTGCATCAATCAGAATTTCTTCTAGGTCAGATTGACAATAAGTTGTCTGTTTAATTCTCATATTCTGATAAGATAATTATTATCTCACCCATCAAATATGATCTTGAAGAATTCAGAAAGCTGGTTAGCAATCATAAGAACATAAATTGTTACCTTCTCACTAGCTGAGATTGTGACTTGGTTCTGGGCTTCTTGGTTCTCTGATATCCAGTTCCTTCGAGCCATTTCTTCCCATTCTGCTTGCATTTTATCCCAAAACTCAGTATCTGACTAGGAGACAGAAAAAATAAGGAGAGATGGATTTAAGAACAAGCTACATCATCTGGTTTATTCTCAGAGACATAGTTTTCTTCGTTGATCAAAATGAATTCTGAGGAGGAAGAAAATATTTAAACTGATGTTGAGGAAAAGCTTTTAGTAATGAACTCTACTCTCAGCCCAGAAAACCTCTCCACAAAAAAATAGATGAGAAAGAAAAGTTTTATTATTGAATAAGCATCACCAGAATGTGATGCATCATAGGCAATGCCCTAAAGAGATTGCCACAACAGAAAGAAATCTTAACCATTATATAGGTCTGAGGGTTGTGGTGCAGTGAATTACTTGATATGGCTTTTCTAACCAGTGTTTGTGACTCCCACCAGATTACTGGGTGGGACCATGCAAATAAGGTATATGGAACTCTAGTTTTGCTATGCTGTGGGGCTTAAAATGAGCCCTCCTCGAGGCAGAAGACGGCATCTCACTGCCATCAAGAGAGAAGAGGCAGAGGCAGAATGGAGGAGATGGAGTGGAGTGAGTCCTTAGACCCAAAGATCCCTGCACTGGACCTCCCTGGAAGAGAGATGGCTGGTAGAGACTGCTGGCAGAGACGACCAAGTGCCATGAGACACAGCAACGGGCTTGCCTGGCCCGTGAACTGAGAAAGCTGAGTACCTCTGATCAGGAGCCTTGCTGGCAGAGTGGGGTGTGCATTTGTGTACCTATACTCACTGCTGTCAAGTCGGATCCAACTCATAGCAACCCCTCCTTGGGTTTCTGAGATGGTATCACTACAGAAGTAGACTGCCCAACCTTCCTTCCGAGGAGTGGCTGGTGAGTTTGGCCCTATGCTGCCAGAGCTCCCTTGTAGGCAGAGGTAAAAGAGCTTTTTAACACTTGCCTGAGAAGGGCAGAGGCCAGACCAAGAGGCCAAGGGCCAGAGAGGCATGCCTGTGGGCACAAGAGAGAGGAGACTACCCTGATTGAAGAATTGTATCCTGAGAGCATTCCAGAACCTGAATTGTAGCCTATTGTTTCCCTATTAAACCCCATAATCATAAGTATTGTCTGTGAGTTGTGTGTGGCCATTGAATTATCGAACACAGCAGAGAAGTAGTGAGTGCCATGGGAGGGATGGCTGGTGTCAGAGTTGGTAAAAGGCTAGAAGGTGGTGTCATAGGAATAAGCCTTGGGCTGTTGACAGTGATTCTCTCTCCCTCTTGTAAAGTTAGAGGAGGTCAGAAGATGCTGCCTTCATTCCCTTTTTGCAAGGATACAATGATTACATTTATATTTTAAAGATAACTGTTAATTTTTCTGATATTTCTGGATAGGAGATAGAGCTGAGCTATCTGAGTTTATGATAACTTCCTTCCAGGAAAAGCAGGAAGATATAAGAGAATTGGAGCCCTGGTGGTGCAGTGATTAAGTGCTTGGCTACTAAGTGATAGGTTGGTGGTTTCAACCCACCAACCACCCCATGGGAGAAATATAAGGCAGTCTGCTTCTGTGAAGATTTAGAAACCCTACAGGGCAGTTCTACTCTGTCCAATAGGGTTGCTATGAGCTGGAATGGACCAGCTGGCAAAGTGTTTTTTTTTTTTTTTTGGGGGGGGGGAGGTAGTATAGGAGAATTACTTGAAGTTACATTTATACACTTTTTAGAAAGACAAAGAATTTACAGTTACAGGTTATCTAAAGTGAAATATAGAGAAAGCAATGGAGGAGGGGAGCTCCTTCCCCTATTTTCACCTAGAGAATTTACCCATTTATTTTCCATTTGTACTTGTCCTTACACTGGCCACATTCAATGTTACTCATGGTTGAAGAGCTTCTAGAGGGTACTCAGTGGTCAAAGTGGTGCAGTGGATTAGCTATGACTTTCTCCAGCAAGACAACAGCTACCATCTGAAGGACCAAGACCATATATACCATTCAAGTAACAGCACACTACTTACATAGTTTCAAGTGCAGGCACCAGGCACACATTTTAGGGAGGGAAGCCTCTCCTGGACTTGTTCCTAGGATATAAGGAATTAGGGCAACTGGCTGTGCAGTGACTTGGGGATATTAGTAATATTAGTTGACCCTACTCTATGGGAGGAGAAAACTGAGGCTAGAGGGTTAAGGTCACAAAGGACTTGAATCTCAGTCTGGTTTCAGAGACCACTCTCATCCCCTTCCAGCAAACTTGGCTTCCTGGTAGTACAGACTGAAGGAAGTGGGCTTTGGGTGGGAACTAGACTAAATATCTTCAAGGTCTTTTCTGCGGCAGGAAAATTTTTTAAATTTTATGTTTTTCTTCTTATAATTTCCCTTCCTTCTTCTAAGAGGAAACCAGGCCTTTTCTTTTTACTTCAGGAGAGGTATATGTTCCTGGTTTGAAGCAGAAGTTTTCTGCAGGATAGATATCCAGTTGGCTTTTATTTCATGAAGCCTAAAGAGAGTATTTTCTATGTTCTGTGGAGAGGGGTAAAAGAAAGGGATGAGAATCTTAAAAGTTTTGAAGGAGAAAGGGGGACTTTTCAGGGGTTGTGAAAGTGATAGGGTTGGCAGTTTCTAAGATAGGGGAGACTGTGCCCAGCTTTATTTCAAATTGGCACCTTAGAGAGGATGACTGAGGCTATGACAAGGGAGCTTGAACCCTGTGTGTGGTCTAGGCATAGAGAGAAACTGAATTTCAAGGAATTACTTGGGGCTTGGATGGCTGTTAGCAGTCACCACAACAGGCAAGGAGGTAAAGACTGCCCTTCTTTCCTGGCACCAAAGAAGTCTTCCAGATTACACGTAGCCTTGGGAGGGATGGGGGCCTGACACAGCTGCAGATGAAGTTATCTGCTGTTGTTAGGTGCTGTTGAGTAAATTCTGACTCATAGCAACTCATATACAACAGAACGAAACACTGCCCTGTCCTGTGCCATCCTATAACGCTTGCCATGCTTGAGCCCATCACTGTAGCCACTGTGTCAGTCCATCTCGTCAAGGATGTTCTTCTTTTCCTCTGACCCTCCACTTTACCAAGCATGATACCCATCTCCAGGGACTTGGTCCCTTCTGACAACATGACCAAAGTAGGTGAGTTAGTATATAGGTAAACATCGTTCTGGTATTTGCTTTCAGCTAAGATCCATTTGACAACAGCAATGATGTTACCTGCCAGCTTGGAAATCACTTTTATTTTCTCTAAAGAAAACACACAAATGAATATTTCTTGAACCCTGATCATGGGACCTAGATTCATAACCTTTACTTGCAATTCTCAATTTCTATGAACCTTAGTCCTATGACTTGTCAACACACCATCACCTCAACACCAGGTTGTCCTTCACCTTTTAATCCTTGTGGTCTCATCCTTCACTTGTAACCCAGGCCCTTGTGAGTACTTATTTGGTAATCAGTAGTAATATTCCATGCTAACAGGAAATTCTTGAAGTTGTTTCTCAGAGACTAATGGCTTCAACCTGAGGCAACCTATCTTAACCAGTTTTGCAGGTCAAAAGACTTGATTTTTGGAAGGACTGTCAGCACTGGAGCCCAAGCTGAATTAAAATCAACCTGCTCATTATTTCGAGGCAAGAGCAGTCTGAGCCAATCACTAGCCTTGCCCAACCCCTTTGTCCCATACATTTATAACCCAAGCTCACTTCGGAGAGTCAGAGCTGAGGAGTGCTCTGCAATAAAGGTAGTTTCTGTTTCTCAAATACAGGTGTCCAGTGATTATCCTAGGGGATGGCCTTGGGCCTAAGGGCCAAGCGCAAGGCTGGCAGTTCAAACCCACTAGCCGCTCTCCACCAGGTAGACCAGGCCCTCTCTTTGGAAGCTCTGGCGGCGAAGTGCCTAAGGCACTTAACTACTAATCAGGAGGCTGGTGGTTCAAACCCACCAGCCACTCCCAGGAAGGAAGGTTGGGCAATCTACTTCCGTAGTGATAGTGCCTTGGAAACCCAAGAAGGGGTTGCTATGAGTCGGATCCGACTCCACGGCAGTGGGTTTGGTTTGTTTTCCTTTAGTGATTGTCCAGCATTCCTGCGTACAGGTCAGGAACCCATGTTTGGTTCTGTAACATACTCCACCCATCATCACTGGGTGGTGGCTGTCTTGTGTCTAGAACTCTTCTTTAAACTTGCTCTTAATTATAGTCATTATCTTATTCTTCTGGATACAACTGTTCAGAGGAGGTGAGCTGGCCCAATATGACTAATCCTAGGTTACTAATAGTAAGTCATGCTCTCCTCTTTTACTAAGCTTTAAATAATCATTCCTACCACAGAAATGGAACTCTGGTAGCATAGTGGTAAGACACTTGCCTGCTAACCAGACGGCTGGCGGTTCAAACCCACCAGCCACTCCTCAGAAGGAAGGTTGGGCAATCCTACTTCCGTAGTGATACTGCCTCGGAAACCCAAGGAGGGGTCGCTATGAGTCGGGGCCGCCTCGACGGCACATAACAACAACAACAACAACAACCACAGAAATGGGTCGCGTCCCGTTGGCAGAGGCCTCCCTCTTCAACAAAGGATGAAGGCAGCAGGTGTCATGACATCCCGTGTCTGAGATGCTCAAAGCTCACAGAATGGCCACTAGGTCTTTAGGTTAAGGTTAGATATAAAATTCAAAATTTCTTTTTATAGGGTCTTTCTAGTAATGCCAAATTGTGGAAACAGAATGATCTCAGATATAGAAAAGCAATGGCTAGATAAAAGACTAGAAGGAAATCTGCTACCATGTTAATAGTAATTTGTCTTTGAATGAAGGCATGATGGGGCATTTTTTTCCTGCTTCGTGTCACTTTTCTGTGCTTTCTGAGATTTTTATGATGTGTGTGCACTGCTTTTATAATAATCATAATAAAAAAGGTTAAAAAGCAGTGGCAACAAAGAAAAATGGATTACCTTTCCTTTTTTGGCTACCGTGCAACCTGACTCTATTTTAGATACCGAGGAATTCAGAGAAAATTTTGGGGACTTATTTTTTTAAATAGCTTTTCAAAGACGCAATTCCAATTTGTC